CCCGAGGCCTTGAAGATCGACATCTCCAAGCATAGGGGAGTCGAAGAGGACTCTCTCTTGAGGTGGTTCATCGAATTGGATGACGCCATAAGGGCGCGTCGCATTGACGACGGGATATGCAAGTTGCATTTGCCCAGTCAAATCTGGCAGGGCGTGCCAAGACTTGGGCACTGGGGCTCAAGTTGCACGACCCATATGCGTTTGGGTCGTTGGAAGTCTTCAAGTCGCGGCTCAGACAAACGTTTGAACCGCCTAGATCTGAGTTCAGAGCCCGAACTGAACTCTTGAAGCTCAGACAAGGTAAGTGTGATGTGCACGCTTACGCGCAACATTTACGACATCTCACGAGCTGTATGAGTTCCAACCCGGTTGATAAACACACGTTGGTTTCAGTGTTCATACAGGGTATTGCGGATGGTCCCGTCAAGACTCACCTGTTCCGACTTGAACTAGATTCACTTGAACAAGCCATTTCCATTGCGGGACAGGAAGACTTCAGTCTGAGACAGGCTCGCGCCAGCTCGACATCATATCGTCAACCGAGACGATATGACAACGGAGGTCCAGAGCCGATGGAACTCTATTATGTAGAGAGCGAGAAGGCTCGCTCTACAGACTACAAGAAGTTGCAGAAATGCAACAGAAGTCAGAAGACAGGACACTACGCTTACGAGTGTAGTGCCCCTCGTCTAGTGTCTTGCAACACTGGGCGTAGTGACCGTCCACCCATGAGAAAGGGGCAGGGACGAGGGTCCGCAGTTGGTGCAAAGACGCAACAACGGGATGGACCGTCAAAAAACGGACAGGATCAGTAGGTGCGGAGCACCCTACTGGTCCAGTAACGTCAAGAAAATTTGTAGGCCTCTTGATGAAGGTTGCTCCCAACACACAAACGTTGTGCATTGCTGCTCTAGGTAATGAGATATCACTCATTACCTTGAAACTCGAAGTGACGAATAAGTTGTCCCTTCTAGCTCTAGTCGATTGTGGGGCGTCCAACAATTTTGTGCAACGCCAATCGCTAGAAGATGGTCACTTCAAGTTCAGTGAATGTGACACACCTCCTACGAGGATGACGGTACGTCTTGCGACAGGCGCATCCGTAACCGTCATGAAGCGTATAGTGAAGATCCACTATACGCTGGAAGATAACCAATATGAAGATGACCTTATCGTATCGGATTCGGATGACAAATTTGATGTCATCCTTGGAATACCGTGGCTCAGAAGGTATGAACCACGGGTAAACTGGCAACATCGAACAGTAACGATGCCTGCCGCTTGTTCATCAGATGGCCATCTGATGAACGTTTTGGAGCGTCCACAAGCGTGTGGATGTACTACGAGTGAGTGCGATGGCCTCACTTGTGCTACGGTCGTTAGTACGACTGCAAAAACCTTAGTGTAACAAACAGTTACACTTCGGAGCAAAGTTACGGTAGCTGTGAGGAAACACAGGCTGCGCCGAAGGTCCACCACTCGAATAAGTCGGGTGGACTGGGACAAAGATGTATTTTTAGCGGGGAACATCTAGAAGAGAAACAATCGATCGCTCAGGTTAAGCGAAACGATAATCCTAGATCGACTGGAGAGTCTTTCGTAGAGGATCTCGCTGTGGTTGCGCAACCCCAGCTAGAGGAAGTAAAGGGAATAATCCCGATGTTACACATACGGCGGAAATAAGTTCCCCGAAACCCGAGGGAATAAGTCCCCGGGAAGACGAAGGAATAAGTCCTTCGAGGCCTGAGGGAATAAGTCCCCAGGAAATGACAGAGACATTGAATGTCATAGTCAATAACGGATCAAGCGTAGGCGCTTATACACTTGATCTGATTGCGCCTCCGAAGTTGACTTCGGAGATCACTCAGTTGCCAACGCTCGAACATAAAAGGTTCTTGCGTGATCTGCGTAGTGGCAAAGTCAAGCAGATCTGCATACTCGTCGCTGACAACGAGTGCGTAGCCGACATAAGGTCAGCAACCGTGTTTACTGAGAACGAGAGAGTTCTCAGCAGTTCATCTATGGACGAGAGTGTCCTAGATGAAAAGACACGAGTTAAGCGATATGACTCCCAATCGTGGGAATCGCTCAAGAAAAGTCCTCTCTATGAAGATTTGGTTGAATTCAAGGATGTATTCCCTTAAACCTTTCCGTGCGAATTACCGAAGGATAAAGGTATTCGACACGAGGTCGAGCTTGAACCAGACTCGAAGTGCTGTGTCATGAAGCAGTGGACACTGCCTCGTGAACAAGTACTTGCAATAGACAAGTTCTTTGCCGATCATTTAGCAGCGGGCCATGTGAGGGAAATAACTTCTCCACATAGCTCTCCGACCTTCTGTGTGCGAAAAGCAACAGGAGGGTAGCGGATAGTACATGCATTTAACAAGCTGAATGCTGCAACGGTACCGGCTCAGACGCCGATACCGAGGAAGGACGTAATCATTGATGGTATGTCAAAGAGTACCATCGTTTCGTCCATGGATTTGATGCATGGCTTCTATCAAATCCTTATGCGAAAACGGGATATAACCTATACCGCAGTTAGCACGCCTAGCGGCATGCTCTGGGAATGGCTAGTAATGCCACAAGGGCTTAGTAATGCCCCTGCCACGCTCAACAGATGTGTATCACATCTGTTGAGACCAGTGCAAGAACTCGCGCCGAGTTATTTCGATGACGTATTCATCCATAGTCGAGCTATGGATGGAAATTCGGACGTTGAAATTCACAGGTACCACGTCCGACAAGTTCTTTCAATCATGCGAAAGCATCAATTGTATGCAAACTTCAAGAAGTGTATATTTGCAGCAAGCGAAATACCACTTCTTGGGTGCATCGTTGGTAAGAACGGTGTACGTCCTGATTTTGAAAAGATCAAGGCGATCACCGACTGGCCTGTGCCAGTCAATGTCAAAGGTCTTCGAACATTCCTTGGGCTAGCGGCGTATTTGCATAAGTATTCACGCAATTACGCCGAGATGACTGTGCGCCTCTCTCGTTTGTTGAAAAAGAACGAGAGGTGGTTATGGAACGCTGAATATCAGCGCTCCTTTGATGGTATCAAGCAGAGCTTGATAAAATCCCCAGTCCTGGCAATAGCCGATCAGGACAGGCCATTTCATGTGGTCTGTGATGCCAGCGATTTCGCAATCGGCTGTGCATTAATGCAGTACGATCTTGAAGGCGTTGAACGCGTCGTCTGCTATCAGTCGCGTCAGCTGCAACCAGCTGAGCAGAACTATCCAGTGCATGACAAGGAACTCCTTGCCATCATGTATACACTCGCGAAGTTCAGAGTCTATCTATTAGGAGATAGACCCTTCATTGTTTACACTGACCATGCGTCGTTACGCACCGCAGTGAACAGCCCGCACCTTTCACAACGAATGTCGCGGTGGTTGTCATTCTTTGCAGAATACAACTTTACGGTAGAGTACAAACCAGGACGGCTTAATGTCGTCGCTAATGCACTCTCACGTCGTCCCGACTTTGAACCAGTCGTGAAACCCAACAGCCACTGTTGCGGTTATGACGTCTTCAGTACCATCTTCATCGTTTTGCTTGATGATGTGAGGCGGGCGTACGCCCAAGATAGTGATATTGTGAAGTTGTTGACACATCTCTCACAACCATCTCGAGAATCGTTGAAACGATTGTCGCCTGCGTATCGATCTGCATCAGATCGATACACTACTCGTAACGGTTTACTGTACTATACAGCCGTTACTGGTGACACACCACGTGTTGTCATTCCAGATGATACTGATCTGCGTTTGCGGATCATGTTCGAGTATCATGATGCTCCTATAGGAGGACATCGTGGTCGAGAGAAAACATATCTCACGGTAAGTCGAGACTTTTACTGGCCCCGCCAGTATCAGTTTGTGCGAAAGTTTGTTCGCACATGCGAAGTCTTTCAACGAGTGAAGTCAAGTCCTTCACTGCGTGCACCTTTACAGACTCTACCAGTTCCAACAGAGTGCTGGGAATCCATCTCAATGGATTTCGTCTTCGGGTTACCCAAAGACGCACGCGGGAATACGGGTATTCTCGTATTTGTTGACAGATTCAGCAAAATGGTGCACCTTGTGGCTGTGCCCGAGTCAATCACAGCAAGTGGCTGTGATTGTGTCTTTATTGACACCCTTTTCCGACTTCATGGGTTTCCCCGTGAACTCGTATCAGACAGAGATCCACGATTCACTGCTGATTTCTGGCGTTCCGTGTTCAAATCACTCGGAACGCGCTTGAAGATGTCGACATCTGATCATCCAGAGTCAGATGGTCAGACGGAACGTGCCAATCGTGTCCTTGAAGAGATACTTTGAGAATACGTACACTCCTTTAAGAGTTGGAGTGAGTTCTTGCCAATGGTAGAGTTTGCCATTAACAACTCGGTGCATGCGTCCACGACAAATACACCGTTCTACGTTTATGGCTTGCGCCATCCGCGTGTACCCACCTTACTAGAGTGTAACTCTGGTTTAAGGGGGGAGGGAATCGCGCGAGCAAAAACCGATTTGGTTCACGCTCATCACGCTCTGACGAAGAGGTCATTGCGTTTGATGCCGACATCGATAACATCGATATCGAAGAAGATGATACCAGTGAGAGTGCGGAAGCCCTCACTGAAGAAAAGGTTGATGTTGCTGCAGTGCGCTCACAGCGCACTGAAGCTAACGAGTCATCAGATGAGTTCATACTGGCTCGTGAAACGTTAGTCCGTTTTGTGCAAGACTTCGTCGCCGAAGCGGTGGATAAGCAAAAGCAAAACGCTGACAAGAATGGAAGGACAAACACTCTTTTATTTAATAAAGGTGACTTAGTCCTACTGTCTACGGTTAATCTACCAAAGCATGTAGTGACTAACTTGGGTAGCAGTAAACTACTACCCAAGTACATTGGCCCATTTCGTGTATTGCACCGCCTAGGCAATGCATACACGATCGAGTTGCCACGTAAGATGCGAACGCATCCCACGTTTTACGTTGGTCGGCTTAAGCCGTACCATTAGCACGCTGATTCTTCCGATGAAGAACGCCCTTGCGCTCAAGCATCTCGCAGAGAGCCTTGTGCTTCCGATGATGGGCATCGACAAGGATCTGAAGAGCAGTTATCTCAGCCCGAGACCGATCAATATCCACACGATCTACCCTTAGCTCGTCACGCAGCGACGTCAGAGCTCTCTCGTTCTCAAGCTGAGCAAAGGCAAACTCAGCTCGATGCCTCGAGACAGTGTCCGCCAGTTGGAGACGCCTGTCCCGCTCGTGTTCGAGATCGCCGCGTAACCCTTGCGTTACGCAATCAAAGAAGCTCTCGGGAACACACGGATCCCCACGATCGCGTGGAGAGCGTCTTCCCTCCTCCTCCACCTCCATTAGAGGACTCTCGCGGTGGCCAGCGCTATCTAGTTGAGCGGCTGTTGAACCACCGCGACGTGAACGGACGTCGGACGAGTTATCTCGTCCGGTGGCGCGGCTATCCCCCGTCCTGGGATACTTGGGAGCCCCGCTCCCAACTGATGGTTGACGTACTGGGTCTGATTGAGCAGTACGACGCGGCACATCCTGTGCCGCAGAAGGACCGCCCGAGAAAGTCTTCCCGGCACGGTCGTAAAGGGATTTCAGGTTGTCAATCCATTCGTACATCTCTAGAGATATGTACGCGCCACCACGGGCTAGTAAGGAGGTAAGCCTCCTTAGGTGCTCGGGCAGAGTTGTTCACACAAAACGGGCACGAGTCTCCCCAAGAGAGGCAGGGTAATCCTTTCTCCCTTGACAGACGATGCAGCTTGTAGCGTGCACCTGTCGGGGTTCGCTTTTCAAACTTATCACGAGCTTTGATAAGTTTGTCGTTCCAAACGTCACGACCTACATCCTCAAGGTTATGGATGTAAGCGTTCCACGCTTGAAGTAGTGAGGGACCATCACGTTTGTGATTCCCACTGTACCATCGATGTTTAAAGAAAGCATCGATGAAGAATTCATGTTCAGCGCGATAGTTTTTCGCACTGGGGTCTAGGTGATGGATCCTTGACGAATCGAACAACCGTGTTCGATAACGATCACTCGTCGTCGCCGACAAGTGATCCATGACAGATTTAGGAGGCTTCCATGCCTTCTTCTCGGGAGCGAGACGCAAGAAATTGCGGTCCCGCTCTTCCTGCGATGTGCCGACAGAAGGACTGGCACCTTGTTGCGAAGTGGTGTCCATAGGAGAACCGACACCACTGTTAGCGCCCGAGTCTCGCGACCTCGAGCGCCTTCGCTTCGGCGATGGTTCATCTGACTCATCAGATGAACCAAAGATGCTGCGACGCAAAGCATCGTCCATGCCACGCTTGGCAGGCGGCTTGGATTCAATTGCCGTCGATACGGATCCGTCATCCGTATCAGGAGAGTACGAGACACCGAGCTCGTACTCTGTGAAGACACGAGTGTCTTCATGACCAGCGCCTGCATCACCAGGTGATACAGGCTGAGTCGATTCAGCAACCGATGGGACATCAGTTGCTGTAGTTTCTGCTTCGGCGTCCGCACAGAGACGTGCAGACGCGCTCTCGGCGGCCTTGCTTGCGCATTGCATGGGCTTGTTAACCATGCGATGAAATGTTGGAAAGTGGACTCGGACCAACAAGTGCAAACCCTGTCCCAAATGATTTGGGACGAGTATCCATTCAGTCGATTAGTCACTAATGTGACTGATGGTTAAGGGAGGGGTGATGTAACGGGGTGAACCGTTACATAACAATTTATAAGAAATTGTTAATCGAATATAACTACAAGAGTTATATTCTCAGAATATTGTCATAAGGACAATATTCTGCAGCACTTTCGAGTAGTTCTTAATTGGTTGATATAGGCCATTATATCAACCAACGAAGACGCGCCACGACAGACGCACGCAATGAGTGGTGAGCAGATAATTGATTTACACATTTGTATTCAGACATAGTTAGATCAAGATAAATAGTGATTTATTTACAGACATTAGCTATGCTAAATACAGTTCTACTTTTTACTCTAACCAAGTACTCGCTTCTTCTTACCGTCTTCCTCTGCACGTACGAGTGTACGTGAAGTTCCGAGGCACCGCCTTATTCTGTCATCAGAAAAAGTGGCTTGTACTGTCACAATTACAAGCTTCAGGGTGCCCCGTTACACTGTTGGTGTACGTGAGCTTCCGAGAACGAGTCACTTGCTTTGCGATATTGCCGGCGTCTAATTGCTTTGCTGCCGGACAATCGGTTCCTATTCAACAGGATTATACTTGCACGTGCATTACTCCGGAATGAATTCTGTGTCAATACAACTTCGTTCGTCAGAAGAGGTATGAAACAGCTTTACTGCATCTACAACACTTATTGCTCGACTCACCTACTAGTGCGCATTCCATTCACACAGTATGGCCGTTGTTCACTTGTGTCACGTAATGTGGCCGGCATGTTAACACCTGCAAAACCGCTCATCGGTTCGACCGTCAGAGCCATATTTCCAAAATGGACTACATGAAGCTCATCGCTGATAATTCGATCCAGTAGATCGTCAAGACCCAAGGACAAATTTTTCGTGACAGCACCGTCTTGTCGTCAAGTGGATCGATATGAGAGCAAGCTCTCATTGAGACGAGTTTGTTGCAACGTAGTTTTCCAAGTGGCCTGGTACGGTAAGTCTACACTGATTAGAAGCCGAGGTGCGAAGCAGACGCGACTGCATGGCACTTAGACACTGGATCTTTTCAGACGGAAACTGTTGCGTATTATTCGTTGCTACAATCACGCTAATTAATTTGACACAACCGATTGCGATTTACGTCCCCCTTCTATATGATGACAGTATGTGTGTGAAAGCAACAACAGTTGTCGTACTACATGCAGTAAAAGGAAGCTGTGAGCAATTAGATTAGTGGCCTGGGTATGGAGGAATCGTATGTCATGGCCAGCATTAGACCTAAGATCAACTAAACCCGATGCTTACATCAAAATACGCACACTTTCCCTACAAGTCGATGTGTGTCTTCGCTTGATCTGCGGCACGTTGGTCGATCGTGTCATGACCGGTATCACAAATGCATCATCTTACCGAACTGGCATGTTGCTTGTTCATAAATAATATACAACGTTCGGTTCCGTTGCGCACTTATCGCACCGAATGCTGTACGTCAGATTCGGCAACAATCAGTCTCACTGAATAAACTATTGCTATGAATTACAGCACAATCCTCACGCGGATTGTGCTCTCATTCATAGCCATTGTTCGTTCACCTCGAAGCAGCACCGAGCCTGAGGCCACGCAGTCTACGAGCTCTTGACAGTAGGATTCTACTCTCCCGAGGGCGGCTTTCGTGGTGAAAAGAGCGCTGCGAGATAAATGCAGATGTTAGCGCCTTAGATGTTTGATGTTCCCTAATTTCTATTCAGCTAGGTACACTTGTTGTGTACCAGCGTATTGGCGAGAAAGTGACGAGCCTAGAAAAAGGTTAGCTCTTACCTTGCGCAAACTGCTCGTTGCTATCATACGTGCGGGAGTAGGCTAGATTTTCGCGGCTTCACCGAAAGTCCGGTGAAAAAACCACCCTGCTGCTGTTGTCACATCACGTTTTCTTGGTCATCAAATGCATTTCGCTTATAGAACCTAGTAGGAAGAGATAGGCAGACGAATTGAGGTGGTCTGGAAAACCAGCAGTTGACACTTGTCCGCCTCTTCCTTCCTTTGAGACCACTTCGCAGCGCAATTTGCCCTGAGTTATACGTTTCTCTTGCTAGCGTCATTTGTAATTTATGATACCAAGCGGGCAGCGGCATTTTACTTGCTCGGGATATTGGCTTGAACTGTGCCTTTGTCGTGCATGAAGTAGCGGTGAAGGAGATATCCTGCCTCCACATTGACGGCCGGTGCAACAGGTACCGGAGTGATACGTAACTATAATGTTTTTGACAATTGGCAGTTTGTACTTGAGATACTCTGTGACACACATATGTAGGAGCGTCACGCAGATGTAGATGCTGGTGTCAGACGTGATGGAAAGCTGTCTTCTCATCATTGCAAATTGCAGCGCCCATTTCTATCGATTTTCACCGAACAATAAATAATCAAGCACGTTCTGTGTGCTCTTTTATTCTTTACACTTACACACTTATCCGGTAGTTGCCAAAGTAGCTGGGAAAGCTCGTTGCAGATGCTCGAAGTGCCGATCGCAAGTTCTCTCTAAGTTTTGCTCACATTCAATTGCTCTAACATCTACAAAAGCGCTGCTCCTTTCTTTCTTTATGCGAGCGTTTACGCTGCTTCATTTGTGGCAGCGATGCAATCTCGAATACGACCGTACGGATGCTAAGCTTGCAGAAATGTGCACATGGCTGACTTTGTGATTTACGTGAGAGACATGCGTGTATTTAGTAAACGCCGTCAGATCACACAAAGCGAGTAGTCTTTGACAGACACGTACAATGGGACCGTAGTTGTCCGGTGGATGCGCTTGAAGGGCCTGATACCCCACAGCAAGCAGATACAAATCAGCGTATTACTGAATGAGGTGGATGTCGTTGGGTGACCCATTGGTACCACATTATGAACACGATTATACTGCGCTCGATGTTTTTGATCCCCTTTGTGATTGCGTCCTCCCACATTTTTCGAAGTGTTCTCTGTACAATCTCTGTCATTGAGTTACGCAACAGCTAACTTAGCCAAGCCTTGAGATGGCGGATGAGCACCGGCATCACTCACATCCTAACAGTGCACTAGAGCTGTTCAATGTCACCTACAACTTTTCTACACTGCATCTTTGGATACGCTCATACACTATCTGATAGAATGGTACGTGCGTCGAGACATCTTCACGATACACGAGCCTCAACTCGTCGAGAAAGCATTGTGAGATTGTAACAAGCGCTAGCTCGTGAATAGCTTACGGTCCTGTAGTCGGCTGGGCAACTGCCATTAGTAACAAGACAAGGTTTGAGTTGTCGATGTATCAAGAAGCGAGCGATTTTGCAAGGCCACTGTCAAGCGGGCAAAAGAGCCATTCTACACTATTTACTGAGTCATGCATCTGTTTTTGCAATGCAGTCAAGCTCTTAGCGCTTAGCAAGGAATTATCGACATGACTGTGATCAAGAGGTCCAAGTAACTGTCCCACCGTTGTGAGGTGCATACTTGGTGGTAATACTTCCCTCAAAACTTTATTACTTTAGCATGCGTCATATTCAGAGACGCATCCCTTCGAGCCTAAGCGGTCACTCAATTTTAGATAAATACTGCAGTGTCCAAAATACGCAGAGCATCGGGAATCTCGTGTGAGCCTCGAGCCCACTTGGATCCGACTTTTCAAATACAGGATGCTAAAAAGCACTTTATTATAATATGCATCGCTTGACGCTATCCTGTGTCTCGCTGTCGTAATTTATCGAGGGCGGACGCTTTTGGCTGGACAAAAGGAACGTGCCCGCGCCTCCACCGCTTCTTCATGCCATTGACACAAACCGAGGCGACGACAATTCCATCTACTGGTAACGAGCCGGTAGCGAACAAGTCTTGTGTATCCTCAAGTCAGTCATCGATAAAATCTCGACAACGTCGAATACTCGTGGTCGGTGATGGAAATTTTTCCTACTCATTGTCATTGATCAAACAGCACCACAGTCGGGTGACTGACGACCAACCAATTCACTTGACTGCCACGTCTTACGACAGCTACGAAGAGTTGATTGCAAAGTATCCAGAAAGCAAACGCATTTGTGCTCAATTGAGAGAGTTAGATGTTACGGTGCTGCATCGCGTGGATGCGACGAACCTTCGCGAGTCCCTCGTGGCAGCTGGCGCAAAGCAGAAGCTTCGATTCCACTCGGTGATATTTAACCATCCGCACTGCGGAGAAGAGAATATCCGAAGACATCAGAGTTTGTTATCGCACTTTTATGCGTCGGCGTTAAATGTGTTGGAGGAAAAGGACGAGGACGATGCTAGTGGTATTCTATTGACACTTGCCGAAGGGCAGTCGGAACGATGGCAAGCGGTGCCACGTGCTCTGAGTGGCGGACTGAAGCTGTACCGGAAAGTGGACGATGTGGACAATGACGAGACGTTTGGGGTTGTGTATGAGCGCAAACGACACCAGAACGGCAAGTCTTTCCATCATGTTACGCTGCATGGTGAGAAGAAAACGCAGAGCAGCACACTGTTTATATTCCGACGACAGACGAGTCCGGTGGAGGCTGCCCCTGTTGATACTGCAAAAACGACAGATGCGCCGGTAGTCGGCGGTGATGAGGTGATGACTGTGTCTCGAAAGCGGAAGGCTGAGAGAGAGCAGAGTTTCGAGTTTGCATGTACGCAATGCGACCGGAGTTTCAAGTCGACTCAGGGTCTGAGAACGCACGTTCACATGGTGCACGAACTCGAAGCTGGTGGTGTACAGCAGGAAAAGGTTCGACTTCATTGCAAGTTTTGCAGTCGCACGTTTAACACAGAGGACGCCAGGAGACAGCATGTGTTGGCCAAACATGGCAAAGACCCGCTCATTAAACCGGACTGGTTCAGAATACAGCAGCATGAAGCCACCATTGCGGCAAGTGAGTCGATGACAGTTTTGTCTTCTGGTACGAATGGAGTCACGAGTCCAACGACATCAGTGGCAGTAATTGCGAAGCCGAAGGCGTGTGCGATTTGTGCGTTCTCCTTCGCCACGGTCGAAGACTTTGATGCTCACTGGCAGAAACTCCAGCCACGTGCAGCCGTTAAGCGCCAATGCTCCAACTGCGGTCGTGAGTTCGACGAGGAGCGTGCTCTACGCCAACATCAAAACTTCTGTAGCCATAGAAACGCTGCAAAGTGAATGAACACACAGACGCGTGCTTCAAAGCTGCTCGAACTCGCAGTCGAAGAGTTTGCATTGTGCTTACCAGAAGAAGAAGCAGCTACAGTCTCGGTGTTACAAGCACGGACTTATGAATCGAGTGACAGCGTTGAGAATAGAGTAACAGCGGACAGCAATAACCCAAGCATTTCGGATGCTTGAGGATACCTCGACGCCGACCGCAATGAATACGTATATGTATGTACATATCTCAATATGCAAAGGTATACAAAGGTACTGGCACCGGTTTGCTCGCATAGCTTACGTAATTCTCGTTGCAGGACTTGTCTTCTCATCCTCTTTCATCACGAAACAGGGGACGGAGATGAACGCTATCTGAGGTCGTTCGTTTGGGATAAGCATTTCCATCGAAGTGCTTCTTATCTTAGTAATAGCTCGTGTACGACCATTTGAATGGGTTGTGCAGCCTCAGACGCTAATCAGGATGATAGTTCGAATCGAATAGTTGTCTCCTCGCTGACGACATCAACGAGCGGACCGATGCTTATGCTATATATTTTTCTGAGAAACGTAATAATTGTGTGTGTTGGAATGAAGTGTGGCCCCTAAGTCTCATAGCTTGTGCTTACGAACAGCCAAAAGCTAAGTAATAATTTCATCAGTGGTCTTGACTGTGATCAGGATAGTTCAGTGAGAGTATCCTGAGCTCAACGACATTTGAGCACATTTTAGAACTGGTTTGTCAATCAACTTTAAGCAATAAAAGCCGTCCGTTTAAACCGAATTCAGCGCTTCACATCCCTTTATAACGGACCGCCGGAAGACCGAACTCGTCCAATTATCACAATACACTGACCACCGTAAGACCGAACTCGTCCAATTATCACAATACGCTGACCAATGAGACCACAGAAGGATGCGCAACCACTCGCTGGTTGTGTTATTTTTCGTCGCAATCGTTTGACCAATGCTGTCGCACTTGGTGAGCTCTCTCCGTCCTCGCTGGTTCTCGACAAGCAACGTCTCTCGGTTGCGAGGCACTCCGCACCTCAAGCGCAAATTGGGTCAGCATCTGCTTGTTTCCGATGGAATTTTGCGTCAAATTGTAGCAGCTACGGGACTTGTAGCAGACACTTCTTCGAACCCGATCCGTGTGCTGGAGATTGGTCCAGGAACGGGCAACTTAACATCAGCATTACTGCACATCAGTCCCGATGTACATGTCCATGCTGTCGAGTTTGACCATCGTATGGTAGAGCAACTGCAGCTTCGGTTTCCCACGGAACTCGAGTCGAGTCGCCTCGTGGTCGAGCATATGGACTTCGAAGATTTTCAGTTTCAAGCCCAATCGGGAACAAATCGGGACAAACTCTTTGATGTCTGTGCAGCCAACATCCCGTACCATTTGTCGTCACTAGTGGTGTCTAGACTTTCGAGTTACATGCATCGCTTTCCTACGAGTTTCAAGTGTGCCGTATTGATGGTTCAGGAGGAATTTGCATCGAGGTTGTTGGCGCAGCCGGGGCACAAGAACTACAGTCGCTTGAGTGCCAGCACGGCGTTAGTAGCGGACGTCACGTCAGTGGCAAAAGTGTCAAGGAAGCTGTTTTTGCCTCCGCCCAAAGTGGATTCGCGCGTGATCAAACTCGTGCCACGTGCAGCTGTGATGCCCGTGCTTCCTGCGCATGACGAGTGGTTTTTCCAAAAGTTCGACAAGCTACTGAGACTCTGTTTTGAGCGTAAGAACAAGACTCTGAGAGCGTTGTTGCTGGCAAAGACTGCAAGATTACAGTACGTGGTAAACGAAGATGAAGGAGAGGACCAACACCGGATAGTCACGGAGCTTGTAGAGGCCGCTCTCGAAGCCAGTGGACTCACGTCCAACCGAGCAGTGAAAGTGTCTGTAGCTGAGTTCATCAAGTTAATGCAAGAGCTACGTAAGCGCGGCATTGATCTACGCCCGAGCACCACGCGCCATTTTCAGAATTAGATGTGTAATGTATTTACAATAAAACACTGTCTCTTGTGTAGCTACCGCTTTCGTCCTTCACGACGATGTCGTCGTGTCGAGTATCTCCATTCTTCTCCACTCTCATTTCCTTGCTTGTCTACATCTTCGTTGAGAAAAGGTTGAAATAATTAGGCTTGCATTTCGCTTGATCGTTGTCACGCGAAAAGTAACGCGTGTTCAGTGGGGGCTGCCGCTCTTTTGGCGCTTGCTATGGTGATGGTGGGCGTGATGTCGATGGTGCACGTGGGACGAACGAGGTTCGGCTGCAATGGGAGACTCATCGTTATCTGCCATACCCGTCGGACTTGCACGCTGCCGCTTGAGCGAGTTCTTCGTGTTGCGCTCACTTCGTGTCGATCCGCCACCTTTCCCCCCACCAGGCGCCATCCCAGAAGTGCTTTTTGCAGCTGTACCCTTCGGTGGGCTTGACGACATTGGCTTCGACTTTCGTGTGACAATTTGAAGAAAACCGTCCCCAACGTCAGCACACAACTTTTGCTTCTTCATACCCGAAAACATAGGCTTCACAGCGCGTTCGCTGCTGCTACTACGACTACGCGTGACAGTATCCACCTGCTCTCCAAAAGCCGCACGGCGTTTACGCGACTGTGGTGTAAGTTCCACGAGGTTACCATTCGAAGAGCTATCAGCCCTGGACGGTGATCGAAACCCCATCGTGCCACGCTCTCCAGCCGCCTCATTTTCTCCATTGTTAGCGCTATCTTCTCCTCTCAAACCGTCGTCAGATTCTTGTTCTGTCACGGTCACCGACGAGATCGAAACCTTTCCAATCCGCTGGCACAACGACAACGACGTCGTCTCACTTGCCTCCTTGTCCGACGTCACCGAACCCATTTCTTCTCCCAAAACTGTTGCACCCAGTGCCTTATCTTGCTGCACACCACCAGTGTCACCATCTCTTTCTTCAACGTTGTCTTCACCAGAAGGACCCCTCTCCTCCCTCACTTGTCCTCCTCCTCCTCCCCCCTTCCCTTCCAGCTCCAGCTCTACCTCCAGCTCCACCTCCTCCTTCTTCTCCTCCTCTCGCTGCCTCTCGTCTCCTCGGCTCTTCATTTTCCGCGTCAGTTCCTCAATCGCCGCGAACGAGTCCAGTCCCTGCCGCTTCAGTCGCCCGAGCTCCTGCTTCACAATCAACGCACGCACCGCGTCGTCATAATTCATCTGGAACTGCCGCATCACGCCGCGCACAGCCAACGCCTCGGGCGGCTCCGTGCTGGCTACGATCCGACCGAGCAGCAGCTTCACGGCGTCTTCGCGCTTCGTGCCGCTCGCCAGCAGCAGTTGCAGCTCGTGCTTCACCACGTTCTGGAACGTGCGCTGTGCCTCGAGCATGCGAGCGCTGGCAAAGCCCGTGGTGCGGCCCGCAGGCGCCGCGCGCCGCGTCGTCGGAGTCGGAGTCGCCGCCATGCGCTTAAATGCGGAGAAGATAGAAAATGCAGTACGTTTGTGGTGCGATCGCGGCGCTGATTCGTCGAAAATCGTTACGCTCGACGGTCCAGCAGGCGGTGGGATTTCAGCCACTTACAAACGTCGCTGCCTTTTCCGCCAATCAAAACGACGGACGTCGATCAGTCAGTCCGGTGAGCAGTCGCCGGACAAGGTGAGACAGCAGAGATGGCTCGCCGCGTGGCACAGACGCGCGCTGTGCAGACGTATGCGGGACAAGTGATGAGTGAGGAGGAAATTGCGGAGATGCGGGAGGCGTTTCTTCTGTTTGATGCTGATGGTAGGGGAGTCGTGGACTTTGAGGAACTGCAGACGGTACTGCAGTCACTGGGTTTGAAGACGATGGGCCAATTGAGTCCCGAGTGGATGGAAAACAGGGATCAGAACAGCAGCGAGACCGAGGATAAGAGATTCGTCGATATGGAGTCGTTTGTGGACATTCTTGGGGCTAAGATCGGGGTCAGGCGTGCAAGCTACTTGAGGATGTAGTGTCGTAAGGGGATAGGGCGAGCGGGACTGATGTGTGTTTGTCCTCTTCTGCTCGTTGTTTTTTGTGTTTTTTACGTTGCTAGAACGATGGGGTGGAGAAGCAAGAAGAGATTCAGCGAGTGTTTGGTCTTTTTGACGATGACAAGACGGGCAAGATCTCGTTATGTGATTTGAAACGTGTGGTACATGAGTTGGGTGAGACCTTGACGGACGCCGAGTTGCTGGAGATGATGGAGCGGGCTGATATGAACCAGGATGGGGAAGTGGATGCTGACGAGTTTTACACAATAATGACAAAGCAGACTTTCACGTAGACCAACTGCGGCACCGCATGAATGGGTTCCAACCTGCAACAGCAATGGCGTGCTCTTTATTTTACTTCATCTGTGGTGTCAATCTGCGACAGCATCATTGAGTGCCACGCAGATCACGGCCTTGTGATGACCACTGTACTGGCGGATTGCCTCGCCCTGGCTCAGATCCCAAAGACGAGCGCTCTGGTCCGACGAACATGTCACTAAATATGACGACACTGCCGAGAACGCGCAGTCCCAAACCCACCGCTGATGGCCCTGCAGCGTATGAATGAGTCCACTGCTGCTTGGTACAGGAGGTGCAGTTGGACCAAGCGTGGAGCCCATGCTCGACGATCTCGTTTGTCTCTGAGAGCAGTTTGATCCATTGCCAAGCATCTCTGCATCCGGGTCGTCGCCGATTGCTGAAGCGGCGATAACTGCTGGAAGGCTCCACACCTTGGCCGTTTTGTCGGACGAGCAAGTAGCTAAGAACTTTCCATTGGAACTAATTCGCGTCTTGAGGATGTAGCTGTTGTGCGCTTGAATGGAGCCATGCAGCTCGTAGTGGCCTTCCGGTTTGGGCTGGTAGAAGAAGCACTTGCCTTGATCGTTAGCCGCCACTATTGCACTACCGTCTCGCACCACATCCACGGATCGAATACTGCTTTCTCCGGTCTCTCCCGTTGGTGGCTCCAATTTAGTGACCATCGTATTAGCCGTGAGGTCGTACACGCGAACGAATCCGTTCTGATCGCCAACGAGAAGCTCGGCCTGATTCGGATGCAGCACGATGGAATTGAGCGGGACGCCAGCATTGTAGCTGCGCTGGCAGCCGGGGGCCCTCAAGTCCCAGATCTTGACACTGCCATCGTCCGAGCACGAGTACATCCACTTGCCATTGCGCTGGAAGCCTAGCGACGAAACGTTGCTCGCGTGGCCATCATAACTCGTCACGTGGTTCGGGTTGTTGCTGTTGATCTCAAACAGGCGAATGTGCGGATTTCCTGCTGCGGCCATGTACTTCTTGTCCGGCGTAATCTGCAAGCAGTTGACTTGCTATAGAGCCAAGCAGTATGAACACGAATAGATAATAGGGATATTTGTTACAAAAGACAATGGAGCACCAGAGAGGATAACGTCAAAGAGCTGAGACACTCGAAGCAATGCCGAGCACAACTGCAAGGAGCCTACCGAGTCTGGGTACTTGACCGTGCGATTACACGTGCCGGACGCTGCCTCCCAAAAGCGGATCGTGTGGTCATAGCCTGCGGTTGCCAACACGACGCCCGCCATCTTGCGCTCTACTGCTGACACGATACAAAACACATCTAAATTTTTAGTCAAATTTTGATTTTTAATTTTGAGGTAAAAAAAACATCAATATAACAATAACAATATAGTGCCAGCAATAACTCTGGACAATATGACAACATCGAAAATGATTACGACGCTCAGCCAAACAACGGTATGGGCGGTCCGTTATAGCCCGTCACGACGTATCCGACATCGTTTTCATTGACCCAAGCAGCCATTACTTGCGTCAACACAAAGTAGTCCGTCCAGTGCTTCTGCACCCGTTTAAGTACCCAGCAATACATGTTAAGGCTCAGCCAAACGTAAAGACTCCACGTTCTCGCAATAGTCCTTTGCGTAGAACCCGTGGTCTGGTACTAAAGCTGTGGTGCTCATCATTCGTCATTTCTTGTCGGGCACCTCGATCCACAGTTTAGTGAGCAATGCTTTGTGCTTCTCACCACGAAGCCGGTTCTGCTTGTCTACAAACCTTGCGCGGGACCACAGAAGAATGACATCTCAACGTGCTCAAAGTTGGTCGCGCGTCATGCGCTTAGAATTGGACAGCAAGATAGCTGATGGTGTCGGTGTCATTGCTTCAAGAGAGCGAGTAAATGGGCAGTAGTAGTAAACGGATGTGCAGTAGCTACTTAACACGGATCCGGTATCATGAGGGTACGAAACTGCATTCAGCTACAGTCTAGATCGAAAGTCTGTAGGCAGTAGTTGGAAGTCTCTTTTGTCTCTCATTGTTGAAGTTTTGACTCTCACGTCACAGGTGCACGGCGTCACGGTCCTCCGTGACTCGTGGTTTGCGTCTCGCTACTCACCGCTGTCTCTAGTTATAATACAAAAGATGTGCTGGATGATGCTAGTGGCATTGGCCAGCCCTTGTCGCTGCTGCTGAATCACCGCGACGGCACTAAACACTTGAATATAGTGTGAACACTTGGACCGGCCGAGGACGTTGACCACATTAGAAGCGAGCACTAACGTGGTAAGCCTCGTGGACACAGAGCAAGTAGGATCTTGAAAATGCTGACGAGGTCACCTTGACTGGTGAACGCCGCACGCCCTGGTATAAAGCGCGAGGATTGCTAAACGTGAATGAGGGCATGGTGCAGATACTGGATCGGGTTGCTGTTTGAGCACTTTCCCTAGGCAATGATGATTTTTCTTGCGTACTCACTCGTCCACTTAACGTTGCCGAGAATTAATCTGAAACAAAAGCCTGGTATTACGACTCCAACCGCCACTTTGTCGTGACGATGATGGCATGTCGTTGGTGCTGCAACGTTCGTGGTCAGGCAGTGGAAGTGGACTCCTCGATGGAATGTACAGTTTACGGAAGACCGCGCGGATACCACAATTTCGCTGCTGTTGTCGCAACTCGAGCAAATCAATCTCTCGGACATGGTAAGAAGTTCGCTCATCGTTTCTGTTTGACCAAAACATTGTGGTACAGAGCAAAAACGACACGGAATCGGCTACGTCCTTCATGGCGTACGCAGGTGCTCGCTCAGCAAACCAGGCTACTTGTACGTGCCACGGACGACGCCAATGTCAAGTCCTCGTGTACGCTGAATGACGTAATTGCACTATTTTTTTTCGAGCCCCGCTACGCTCGGCTCGATGGTTTGTAGAAAAGTTGTACCAATTTGGTGAACTCTCGACTGTGATCAGACCATCTTTGACGCTATGGTTGTGGCTCTTGAGGCCCAGATATAGAGTTCTCCATCCACATCGTGGTGCAAATCGACAAGCTAGTAGCTGCGTTGGAGCGGTTGCCTTGATGCTGCGTTGCCGTCGACTACTTTTCTCGGGGCAAACCAACACGATAGCTACTTCCAGCTAGTTGTCAGTGCTTGAGCGTGAATTACAGTGCCGCCTAGCGCGAACGCATAAGTGGCGGTGGTGCAATTAGCAAGACAGAATTCAGGTTATTCACAGTGTCTGTTCGAGCTCACATGTGATTCATACGGTGTGTACACTTGTTTGCTGTCGAATGGTAGTTATTATTCGCTCACCCGCAGTGAATGAAGTAATTAGTGTCGGTGACACACAGCCCTTCAGCAAAGCTAGTAGATTGCAGCGAGATGCAGTGGAGGGCGCTGATGGTACGCGTGATTAGCCGGAAGTAGGTACATTCGGTATGAAGATGTCTCCAGTACGTAATGCGTTAAGGACCCATTGAACATTGAGCGAGTAAGCGAGTAATGAAAGTAAACGTGAACTAAGAAAAACTGCAGCAGCTTGAGCGCTGATACTATTTCGATGACACGAAGGTTTGAAGGGTGTGGCCTTTTCTACGACCAAAAAATTTTTCGTGGCGTATTGGGGCTCAAGCGAAGGGTAAAGAAAACAAGCTCAAAAGGTTCCTATTAAAATGTAAACGATTTGTTTCGAGGCGGACGATAGCGGCGCTTCTACATGTTACAAATCTACCATACGCCACTCGATCACCCATGAACTTCGTAAGCGCGGTAACGATCCATAATGGCCCTTGCAGTGTCTTGACCGTGCAGTGAATGCTTCTCGAAGAACTCAGCGTTGAACACGTGCTCCAAGTCTGTTTTGCCTTCATCCTTCCAGTGCCATAACACAGCGTCCATGTACGTTCTGGACTTCACATCAAAGGGGTAGCGGGCAAGCGCTTTGCCCAACATTATTGCAAACTCGCCGTCTCCAAAGCCCTTTGACAAGATGCCGACGACAACTCGATCGCGGCGCTGCTCAAACTGGTGGAGGGGTAGCTGAGTTCCATCCTCGAGCGTCACTAATCTGTGCTGGGGCAGCACAGTTTCTAGATCCGTATACAGGGACGGCAAAGGTTTTCCATGGAGCTGTGCTTCCACGTATCGCTCCAATGTCAATAGCTCTGTGCTATACAAGGCCTCCTTCCCTTTATCTTTGAGCTTCAGCATGTCAAACAACTCCTCGGCGGGCAGCTTCCTATCCATCCAGCCTGCAATCATCTCTCGCTGCAAGCCTATTGCAACGATACTCTCAAAAGCAGAACGATGACGAATCGATTCCATCAAGACAGCTGATAACGCCCGGTCACCGTAGTACTTCGTCAGCGTCTTAATCAGCGTGTGCTGAGTGTTCTCCTTTTGGTTAACGTGATCGATGTAGAAACGTAGCACCTCAATCTTTTTGGCGTCGCTAGCCCTGAGAAAACAGAGATTGAGGCTTTTGGTTGTTGTTAGTCCGAGGAGCTGCGCCAGTTCGTCGATGGATTTCTTTTCCACATCATACCAGTGCTGCAGTAGGGGCTCGAGCTCCGTGGCGTACGGTCTGTATAGATGCGGCATTAAGAGCACTTCGCGCTCGAGCTCCAAAACCGATTTCGTTCCGCCCTCAACACTTGACGGGTGGAAATAGGTCGCAACCGACTCAGCGAGTTCTTTCACAATTTTCATGAACATTTCTCGCTCTTCCTCGCGCTTCATCTCATAAGACCTCAATTCGCTTTTAGCGGGGACGACGTCATTGGTGTCGTGTGTCAAGTCCGGGTCCAGTTTTTTTGCATCCGTCGCAGGGAAAGCGGATGCCCTTACGAGACTCTTGTTGCAGGACAGAAAGGATGCACCTAAAACAAGGACGGTGGGGTCAAGTCGCATCGTCGATCTGTCGGATTCGGTTGTGGTTGAGAGGGAATGATTTGCAGGACGGCAATAGTCGAGTTCAGCCAGGACCAATGATGCGAAACTGGTATTTGTACCGCAACCCACGGGCTTCAGCTGAGGTCACCTGGTCCATTGCAACAAAACCGCAGACCTTAACTCGTGGCGTTTGGGATTCCCATCTCTAAATCGTTTGCCAAAGGACAAGATGTCGCACAGGTCGTATATAATGGCTCGATTTGCTGCAGGACAACAGGCACTATTCAATGAAGCTCAGCATGCTGCAATCCTTAAAACATTGTGTGTGTGTGCGTGAACCATGCCCGAAAATTTAGTGCGTCTGACCTCCATGCTTTCGTAAGCTTACAAATCAGACGTAGCGAAATACGTACATGGAATATAAAATCGGATAAGCCTTGCACGCGTGCTTCGGATATGGTGCAAGAACAATCCAGTTCCTAACATTAGTGAAAAAGCTGGTCCTGTGCGCAAAAAACTGAGTTATAATATGACAATCGAAAGCGGATGGGTCCCAAATTGTGTAGCGTGAAGTACGTATACGCTGGTGGTGAAACGAGCTTACGTTTTGACTTGTACTATCTTCAGCCAGCAAGGCAATATGGGCATCAAGAAGAGCCATCTTCTTGTCAGACACTTGGTGGCGTGGACAGCGACTCCGGAATGCGAGCCTTAAGTGCAGTGGTGGGACACAGTCTTGTTCACTAGGGTAGCGAAGCTCGAATTTTGCTGGTAAAGAAGGTCAGTATCAGCTGCATAAAAAAGCTATGACCAGGTCAGCACATGTAAGTTCCCAAATGCATGAAGTCTGAGCTAATGCTAGCCAGTAGTTGCTTGTTCGTAGTCAAGGGCTCACAAGAATAGAAGGGGATTCTAAAAAACGAGCAACTCGCTTAACAAGACAAGTGGATAGATAGCCTACAAGCTTGAAAATTCCCAAACTAAAATATGGAATACGTAGTAGTCTGCTTGGATAAAAATAGGAAAACTTTAAGTAGCCATCACCTCTTCGTCAATCAGCCACCACCCTTCCAAAATTTATATAGTTTTATATTCATTTTAAAAAATGCATTCAATTGGTCAAACAAACATGCAACGTTGTAAAAGCTATTGATAGATTTTTGCGATACATAAAGTTGAGTGCTATTACACTAGACGAACGCCTTGCGTTTGACCGACCCGGGTGGCAACACTACGTTTGTAGACTTATGTTATTCATTCCGGATAGCAGACGAGCAAGAAGGATATGGCTAGGCTCTTCTAGACGAGTAAAGCGTGATGCTCCCGGTTTTACTTCTGTACGGGCACATCGATCTAATATAAACAGACCGAATGCTTTGTTTTACAATCTGCTATCTAGGAATGTAGACAAGCGGTCCTTACATGGGATCAAGGACACTGTGCTGGTAGGTGCTATTTCTGGACAAGGACTCGGCATCACGAGCTAGAGAATGAAGATGGAAGTGTTACCAATTAGCTTGTTTAACTTAAAAGTCGCAATCTACGCAAAATGAGACGGAATTGCCTAACTTCATCTAGATTGGAGAAAATAACTAGTGCTACGCCTGGAAAAAGCACGTCAGTGAGGTCGTTTTTAAATCGCCCAGAGGTTTGACTAGGAGCAGGGTTAAAAAATGTACGGCATTATATTTGTATTGCTTATCCTATTCGTCCGTTTGGCTACTACGACATAGCTTTGTTGTTGTGCATGCGTTTCAATTCTAGTCTTTACTTCCCGCAAAAAACGTACGCAATCTGGGTGGTGGCACAAGACTTTCCATAGTATTCAACATTGAATAAACAAACCTGGTATTAATTTCGGACGACGGCACACAAGAAGCGGACATAGGTGTGATAATTAAAATGATTTAAGCTCAAAAACACCCGGCCCAACTTCTATCCAAGAAAGCAAAGTTTTTAAAATTAATATTACCTATCGGAAACTATTGGTGGGTGGTGGCCGATTGCTGAATAACGTTTCCCTTAAATCAATTAAGAGTTCAAAAGCTTTAGAATCTGACTTAGCATAGAAATTTGAACAAGCAGCCGAATGAAACATAATAGTATGAGCGTGCAGGATTGCAGTCCGACAGGAATGTTAGCATTAACGCTAGCATTAGCTTTTGCATAACTGCAGAGGTAGCGGTAATACGAACGACGATACAACCGTAGATGAGAACCTTGCAGCCTGCGAGCCCCAGCAAGGTTAGAAGATGTGGTCGCTCAAGGAGTGGCTGCTGCCGATTGGGATTCCACCCATACCTGTTTAGTAGAACTATGCAAGACGGTGAGAGTACGGCGCGTTAGAACAACTGATCTTATGCGTCATGGTTTACCGGTCTTTCTTTACAAGTAGGTCATGCACGTAAGCACATCCCACTCATTTGTTAGCTCTGTCTGAGATCTGGTTCTAGAGGTGACGGATTCGATCGTGCCCTCACAGTGCACATCACATCCACACTTTCCTTAAACATGGGAGATAACAACATTTAACCGACCTCGTATAGCAATCGCAATTTTATTTTTGAATGCACTCGCGTAAGCAGCTTCCTATTTCAGCTCTATACTGTCAAAGGTTATTGCTGGAAGGAGATCAGCTAGTGTCAATCATTATGATGTCTAAGATATGGGTATATAAGGAAGGGTCCGTGGAGGCAAGAATGCAAAGAAATCGCGAGTTGGCTGCTTTACTGAACGTATAAAGAGAGTTTAAACAACAAAATACGTTTTTAGAGGCGGTTCACAATCTTGTAGGATATCCACTAATCTGCGGCTATCTACTTAATTATAAAGTGAGTTGCTTGTTTGTTTAGGATCTTCCAGAGTAGCAAGGTGGACTGCACGAAACTAATAGATGTCTAATCGCCCGATATCTAATTTGATTATAATCCGTGAGCAATTTATTTACACACACCGAGGAAATGCCAGAAAGGTAGGGAGATCGACTTTCCACTAAGACGTGCCAGTTGGCCAGCACATGATGCAGCCGCGTAGCTTCTTTCCTGCCGCTGTGCTCAATCCTGCAAAATAAAAACGATCACGTTAAGCAAAGTCATGCAAGACACTGATGGTGTGGGGCAAGGTCATAGGCACGATGTAGTAATGTCAAGCGCTAGTAATAAAAAATGATTATGCAAAGGACATGCATCCTGTACTCGTAAAAAATGCTCCTTGTTAAGAAGCCCAGTAACCATTTAAACGTGTGCAGCATTTGGTTGCTTTCTGTCAGTCCATATGACGTTGAACAAAATGCTTAGCCTGTCCTCGATAGCTTCGTACGATAAGTGTGTTATAACTTCATACGGTCCCATGACGACTGCTACTCCTGAAGAGGAGACCTTGTGGCTGTAATGCTTCACGACATTACTTTGTGTCGCTTTTGCAGTAAGGTATGGGGACCTGTCCGAAGCATTTGATGAAATCTGGAGATCCAATACGGTGGATCCTAAAAGAATAAAATCTTGCCTAAAAGCTAGTGGATAGCCGCAAATCAGTGGATTTCGCAAAAGATACAAGTGGATGCCACGAATCAGTTAGTAGTCACAAAAAGATAGTGAATTGTAACAGAATAAGTAGAAAGCCGGTATATTAGTGCCTAGCCTACAAGTGCATAAACGGCCATCGAACACATAGTATCATACAACACTTTATGAATGAATATGACTCTACCGCAGTCAATTTGCAATTTCTGCACATTCTTGCCTTCACACACCCGGCCTTGAAAACCCACCCCTTAGCCGAACACAAAAAAATCTTTTTTTAGTGTCCATAGAATTTTCTTCGAGCTGAAACCTACGACACGTTAGAGCTCGCAAAGGAAGCTGCTCACGCCGATTAATTTATGGGTGGCTTTGCGTTTGCAATACAAAGCTCGTAGTTATATTACACCGCTGAACAGGTTCGTTTCATGTTGTTAGGATGATGATTAATAAGATAAATCGTCAAGTAATTTCATGGTAGTTTCAGAGGATTGCTATGGAACAGCGTTACATAAAATCTTAGAGATAGGTCATGATAGTGAACTAAGGACCTTAAAAATATTTGCTTCGGCTTTTGCCTAAAACTACTCTACAGTTTAAGAGCCACAGCTCGGGTCGCTGCTCTAAGGCCAAAGAACGCCTTTGCGTTGCACGAAACGCACACGATGAATACCAAGCGCGCCGAGGTCCTCCTGAAAGTGTAATTATTTCCACTGGTAGTTTTGTGTGAGGATGACCCTCGCCAGGAAAGGTCTGCTGGCGCACGTGGAGGTGGAAAAGGAGGAGAGTGAGATGATCGAAGCTTGGCTAGTCAACGACGAGAAGGCTCTCGGTATCATCGCGCAGGATGTGGAGCTACAACACTGGACAAAGATCCTCTCATCTACGCATGCGAATCATGCGTGGGCAACGCTTGGGGAGCTATACAATAGATCTACACCACACAATCGGGTCACGATGACACGGCGCCTCCACGAAGATAAGATGGATGCTGAAGCGGCCATGGCAAAGCATTTAAACGCCTTCGACTAGCTAGTTGTCGGTCTTCAGACGCCTGGAGAGTCTACAGACGAGGCACGGCAGCTGGTAGTGCTACTGAGCAGCCTTCCAGGCGAGCACAAGCTGATATTATCTATCATTGAGATGGTCAAGGACATCACGCTCATCGAGGTGAAAGAGAAGCTGTTGAAGGAGTGTGAACGATTGGAGAGAAAGGATACGAGTCCAGAAAGATCGTTCAAGGTCAACACTCAAAAGTTCAAAAGTAATTATGGGAACGGTCGCAAGTACGCATTCAGAAGACGAACTCTGATGGTTTATGAGGCAAGTGTTTTAAGTGCCACAAAGTTAGGCACATGAAGCGAGACTGCCAAGAACGGACAACAGATGGTGATGAAGTATTGGCTGTAAGCACAAAATGAGTAACTGGATGGTTGATCAACAGCGGAACGACCGCCCACACAACCCCAAAACGTTCTGATCTTTTCGAGTATGAGAACA